CTCCAACCTGCTCATGAAAGAGGGATTCGAGTACTGCGGCCCCTCGAAACCCATCACACTCGAAGACACAACACCCCATTCGCGGGATGTATACGCTCACCAGGGCTTCGAGGTGACACTTGTTATTCGCTGATCCTTGACTTGCTTGCTTGCTTGAACTCGGAACAACGCAAGATCGTACAACCACACACCCTAGGCCAAGGAGCCGTCGACAATTGCGGATTGGGCACAAACGACGCTCGACATGCGCCGGGGTTCCCGGTGTGGGCACAGTGGGTGATGATCAAGGTTCATTGGTTTGCAATTCGGTTTCAGTTTCGAACTCTTCCTGGGTACCACGGATCTGACTCGTTCCTTCATAGTGGCCGGCTCGTGCTTGACAGCGTCATATCACACTACTGTAGGAGTGGGTGCGCATGACGTTCCAAGATGCGCCTCGCCGCCGGGTTGATTGATTTGCGTAGATTGAGAATTGAAGAGGATCGCAGAGAAAGAAGAACGCACTGGCGGCGGTAAGACACGCTTCTGGGAAATCCCCGGCACCCCCACGAGCATGGCTACAATCTCGCGCCCACACGGTTGTTTAGAAAATCAAATAAAAATAAGATGTAGCCAACCGGAGGGAAGAAAAGAACTAAAGGGCTCAACTTGGCGAAAACAAAGGAGCAGGGTCATCAGATATACGCACTCATGAAGCCAATCGGTAAGTAATTCCAACCTCAACTATGGACAAGAGGGTTGAAAGATGAAATTCTCTGGGATACGAAGCACGGTGCGTGAGGAAAAGAGAGCGAATACATAGCATCTCGAGTCGATGGACGAGCACATTTATAGTATATACATTTTCAACGCGAAAGTTGATGTTTGGAAGCAGAGGATCGTGGGGTCGTCGTCACTCGCGCGCACGCAAGCATGGTAGAGGAACAACTGGGTAAAGGCAACCGCAAGGGGAAATGGAGATCTGCTGCTCAGCTTGAGTAGTAGACTGGGCTTCAAATAGATTTTTACCTTCAAGATAATGCGCGATTGGATTAATTGAGATAATAAGTATCAAAGCGCAAGTGAGGGGGCACCATCGTATTGAAAGCCTCGGGGTTTCTGAAATAGTCTGTGACCACCAATCCTTCGCCTTGCAATCTTCCTATTCCTAGCTGTCCATCTCCTAACTTTGAATACTTTTTGTTAGGTATATGAATTGAACGCAATCGTCCAGTTCGCCACCGGGATGTAACCATATCGGTGAGCGTCTTCCTATTATAACGGTCCGAGAAGGCCTGGTATCCACTGCTACCGATGATTATCGATTTCAGAGCCGGAGTGAGGTCAGTCGGCGCATTCCGTAGTATGAGTGAGGCGCATAAATCATCGAAAGAGTTGGCTTTTTCGGAATTAACAAAGACACCTAGGTCTGTGATTTTCGGAACCGAGTGAAGTATGCCAGATATCTCGATCGCAGATGATGCAGCGAAGAGTAATCCGAGTTTTCGGAGTCGCTGTAGTCGGCGTCGAGTAAATATCGATGATAGTTGGTCCGAATAGCTGTAGCAATATAATTCCTCGAGCTGAGGAGTATCCAGACAGTCTAATAGTCTCGAGTCTCTCAAGGAGAGGCGAAGAAGGTGCGGCAACACAATCAGGGTGGGTGGGGGGGGAGACATATGAACTACGTCCAGTGCACAGTCCACGAGGTTAGAGGCCGAGCGAAAGGCGCCCAACTGGCTGTCCCACATACCCCTCGCCGCGTAGATGCGAACCGCTTCCCATTGAGTGGAATGTTGAACGAGTACAGCCAACAAGTCGAATTCCCGCACCGTGCTGCGATAGAAACCAAAATCGATGCGAAGGGGTAAACCTCCTGCTCGTTTCAGCTGAGCTTCGAGTCTGAACCTGGTATGGGTTTTGCGATCCTTCATGTTCCCAAAGTTCAGTTCGATGGAAGCCCAAATGGAGGCTTGGGACAATGCAATCGTCCGCCAGCGGCGGCAGACCTGGCTGGCAGTCCACGGAGCCTCCGAGCCCCAATAATACGGGGAACGAGACGCAAAAACGAAGATGAGGGAGAGAAGTTCAGTGGGCATTCGTCTGAGGGGGGATAGTGTCCCCTCGTGGGCCCGAATTTCCGCCTCCATATTGTCATGTTCCGCCATGAGCTCCTCCAGCAGCGACTGGACAGCCGCAATGCGGTCTTCCAAGCGCGTTTTTCGGGCGCGCTTTTCATCGATGGTTTTCAGAATACAGAGGATTTCGGAGTCCGTCGGCGGTCTGTTAGTGTCCAGGATGTCCTTCGGAATTCGCGAGGGTTTGGACGCGTCGGGAGGGGTGTCAAATGGAACCCGACAGTGGGGGCAAGTTCGTAGACTGGATGACATTGCCTGATCATAGTATTTAAATAAGTTAGCAGGAAGTACGCGCTCTACACTCACGTTCTAAATTGCGCAAAGCCAACTGAATTTTCAATTCTGGCTTGGCCGTCCTTGCAGAAATGGTGGGGAAGAAGTCACAATGGCACTGCTGGTCACACGTCACAGGCCAAAATCTACAAAATTGAAAACTGCGCATGTACAAGCTCATTAAAATCGTATTCCTCCTACTAATCATACAACTACAGCGTATAGTAGATAGGAAAAGATGCTGCCGACAGCGAATCATGCCTCGTAAAGATCGAAAGTCCCACCGCTCCTGGAAACTTGCACTGTATACGGATACGTGCGTGTATTATTCTACGCGTCAGACCCATTGCACTCTACGCGTCACACGCGAGCGGAACCTCGAAGTCCTAGATATGCACGTCAGCAAGTGGCAAGGCGGCCCAAGGGAACAGAATAAGACGCACATCAGTCCGGAGCCCTCCAGCGCACGGCGTGCGCAGGATGGCGTCCGCGTTGGGCCGAGGACTCTGGACGAGAAGCCCTTCCACAGCGGGCAGAAATCCTCCCCACCGGTGAGCTGCTGGTCAGCCAGGATGATCGCGTCGCGCGCCTCGAAGAAGTTCGGGCGACATGGCGGGAGCTTCATCGCGTCCAGCACGAGCCTATATCCGTGGTCAGCTCACGCTTCCTCAGTGGTAAAGAAAGGGCAGCGTACTGGACTGAGTGCGAGTTGCCGTGCTTGGGGACGAGCGGCCTCTTGCCCAACACGGGGCGGTAGAAGTCGCCTGTGGGGATGGAGCCGTCGGCGAGCGCTGTGGGCGGGAATAGGGTGTCCGTGGGCCGTGCTCTTCTATCAGGCCGTGCGAAACGACCCACAGCGTCTGTACGTGGGGGGACAGAGATTCATGTCTGTGTCCTGTGTATCCCAGTGTTCTTATGCGTGTCGAAACGTGAATTACTAAATCGCGCGTTAGCCTCATTTCAAAACAGAGTACAAAGGGGGCTTGCTTACCACAACGGAATCCGTCGGCGCCTTTCAGCTGCTCGAAAAACGTATCCCGATTCCCATCCGCCTCGTACACGACCATGCCGTCTTCTGCGATACGTGCAAGTTGTCTTTGAATGAAGAATCAGAATGATCAGCCTCCAGTCTTCAAGCAAGGGGGTGAAGATAAGACCCGCCGCATGGCGTTGAACGCGTCAATGGCGCGGTCCCGCAGGAGGCGTTCGAGCGCACGCATGATGATGCCGAGTTCCCCAAGCGAAAGGCTGGAGTCGGGGTACTACGACGCCGTCGTTATCAACGGGGTAGGGATGCAGGAGGACGCGTCGGAGGCACCACAATGTGACATTGAGATAACCAGACGCGACAGCAGCAGACATACTTGTTAAGTTTCGGTGAGTGCCAATGAAAAGGCAAAGTGCAAGGCCGTTCTTCCCAGGACCTTGAAACCCTCGCGTACCTCGTCATTGGTGGTTAACATGATATCCCAAGTTGCTCGCAAAAGCCACGGTAATTGAACTTTGAAGTCCAGCGCCACGATTGCAGACTTTACGGCGTTCGGTATGACCTTTTCTCTATCGTTGGGCATTCTGACGGCGCGTTGTGGAGGTTGTGGTAAAGGCCTTAGGTATCGCTGGCAGTGTCACAAGTCATGTCATATCAGTCACACCGGAGATTGCCATCTTTCAGTACTAGTTGAACTGATTGTTGACAAAAGCTAGTTTGTTATCTAAAGTAATGACCCGGAAACCAGCTGAGCTGAAAACCAAACCAATTCTAGTTCTAACAGTTAATACTTTCAGTACAACAGAAACTACAGCTATCGGTTTTAGATGTTGGCTACACCGAAACATTATTTAGCAAATTTAAAGTCAGACGAGCTGAAAGTCAACCTGAAAGCATTCGTTTTGGTCGTGAAAGCAGTTGAACCAACACCAGAACCAAAACATAACCAAAACTAAATGTTTTGGTTTTGATTTCAGCTGAAGCTGAAATATAAACTGAAACCATATGTTTCAGTTCAACTGAAAACTAAAACATTTAGTTTTGGTTGGACCAAAACTGGGAGTATTGGTTCAAGTTTCGGTCCTCTTATCGGTTCAACTGAAACACAACCGCTACATTATATTTTGGTTTTAGTATTGGTTCAACTGCTTTTGCGACTGAAACAAATGCTTTCACTTTGATTTTCAGTTCGTCCAACTCTAAATTTGCTAAATAATGTTTTGGTTTAGCCAAAATCCAAAACTGATAGCTGTAGTTTCCGTTGTGCCGAAAGTATTAACTGTTAGAACTAGAATTGGGCTCATTTTCAGCTCAGCTGGTTTCCGAGTCGTTACTTTAGATAATGAATTAGCTTTTGTCAACAATCAGTTCAACTGAAAGATGGCAATCTCCGGTGTGAGTGTCACATCTCGTCGACGCGGACAGCGTGAGACAGCGTGGGACGCGTCGGGAAAGATCTACGTGATATCCCCGTCGCCCGAACGGATCAAGTATATCAACCCCAAAGCAGTAATTTCGCGATTTCACTCCTAAGCCAAGTTGCACGCATGTACCTAAATGACCACATTTCGAGGCTGGAGAGGCTTGCCGCACATATAGACTTGCATTTGATATGTTTTCGTGCCTTCATTGGCTCAGTTGGTAATGTTCCTGCAGCACAGCTGCCCCTTGTGGAGTGGTTAAGTCGAGGGTTCGAATCCCTCAGAAGGCACACCTCCTCGGCTCAGCTAGTTGGACCGTCTTCGGAGCTCACGCGCTCACGCCTCGGCATCGTGAGAGAGGTCTGGGACTCTAGCATGGGTAACTACGCGCCAACGGAACGGGGGCGCTTCCACAGTCGGCGCATCGTCAATGTCACGAACCCCGCCCACCAGCACATTTTTTGGCCTTTTTCACTCAATTATTTAGAATAAACCATCAATGCCTTGCACCGTCGTGCTGGATGCCAGAGAAAAGGATAGCAACACATTGCTTAATTTCTATATGCTTCAGACACGACTTTACTCTTGGCCTTTGGGAGGGAAATTCTCTTGCTCAAATTTACATGGCTGAAATGATTTTCGGACATCCGCGTACTACAAGGGCATGCTTCTAATATGTGAAAGCGAGTCGTTGTTCACAGCAACGCCATTCTACTCGGAATAGAATCTTTCGCAGGCAATTTCCCCGCTCCGCACCTATCCCTAGGTCCCCGAAATCATCCGCGTCCATCGAGACCAGAACATTCGACATGTCCTGCCACGATAGCACTACATACATGGTTTCCCAAGAAACAGCGACCAATCTCGGAAGGTATCTAGCTAAACCGAGGCGCTCAAGCGTGAGATCCGATTCGAGGGACCGGAACACCGTGCTCTTGGCACCGTCTGAGTAGTCATATGACGGTGAGAGCTGCCCCACCTTCCCGTTCCCACACCCCATGGTTCTGTGTTGCCCGCCGTTGTCGCGAGACTGTAAGAGTGGATGTGGTTTGCACCGAATGCCAAGTGCAGGAGTTTCCAGCCAGCGGGGAGAGTACCTGATGTACAACGGTAGACTCAGCAACACGGCGAAAAGAAGTGTAAATCGTCGAGAGACGAGTTAGAGAGGGCCGTGTGCATTGGATCCTGCGGCCACCAGCGTTATTACATGAAGGCTTCCGACTGGTCGCCGCTGAAATGATGGGATTAACGGGAAGATCGTCTGAAGGATTAGCAGTGTCAAAGACGAGCGACATCACTTGAAGAAGCGTAAGGCGCACGCGCGCGGCTGCTTGAATACCTATACTTGTATTGATCTTGAATCTCACTGGCAAGGTGCCCTCTTACAGTAATTTAGGCGTTCCTTCCGCTCCATACTTATAAGTTTCTCGCTGTCGAACCCACTGCCTGACGAGTCTTGTTCGCGGTACAATGACCGGCGAGCGCTGGAGAAACGAGCAGACTGGGACTGGGCGGTTGAGAGTATTCGAGTGAGATGGTGGAAGGAAGATACAGTTGTGGTTGACACGATCAGCAAACAGAAGCAAATGATCTTGTCCGAAACCAGACAGTGACAGTGTTGCAACTCACAAGCAACTCAACGTCGACGCTCTGGAGTATTTCCGATGACAGTGTCGCAACCGGACCCACGAGTCTGAGCTCGACGGTGTCGCTCGCTGTTGCCAGTGATACATCCCCATTGACGATCACTGCGTCGCTGTTTCCTTCGCCATCGCCGCCGCGCGGCGTCCAAAGAAGTTGTACTGCTGGAAGATACTGGAGACTTCGTCGAAGCCGACACCAAATTATGAGACAGAGGTGCGAGGGAGCAATACCTGTTTATATGCTTGACTCGGATCCGGATTCCGCGCAGTGTCACCAGCGGACAGGTGGTGTCTCGCTTCTATGCCGCACGTAGGAACCGTCGACGCTCGACTGTGGGCGAGAAAGAATCCTCGTGTGTTCGTTGAATACAAAGGCGGGAGGTCCTACTCGATCTGTCCATCTGAAACAACATGGTCCATCTACTATCACTGGTAATAACATGCTGAGATTGTAACGTGAAAGTAAGTTCCTGAACGTTAACTCACCAGTGTTCGATTCATGTTCGAGTGCTTACTTACGGCGAGCTAAACCCTCTACATTTCGTATAAAGCCTGAAGTCCTTTCGGAGTCCTTCAAATTGTTCTGCCATGCCTCTTTACACTTTGTTGTGCGCCTCACTCCTTTCTCTAATTTATGCTCGCACCGTCAACTCCGTGCCGACCCCATCGCCGGTTGTAGATTTGGGCTATACACAGTACCAGGGAGTCGTCAACACGAGCCTCGGCATCACAAGCTTCCTTGGTATCCGCTATGCCTACCCCCCAACAGGTAATCACGCGTGTTCCTCGGCGTTACCGCAGTTCACACTTAAAAGTCCACCAGGGAATTTGAGATTTCAGGCTCCTGAAAAGCCACCGACGTTCTCCGGGGTTCAGCTGGCCACCACTGATGCGCCTGCATGCTTTCAAGGCGGTTTAGGCCACCTAGGCGGACAGAGCCTCACAAATCCCGTTACTGCCCGGGATGATAGCGAGCAGTCTGAAGATTGCTTATTCCTCAGGTTTAGCGCATCTGTTTGCAAAGTGCCTTCAGCTGACCATCCCCAGCGTCTATACCCCCAACCTGAAACCGAAGGTTCTTTTGCCGACCATCGTTTGGATCCATGGTGGCGGGTGAGGGCCAGTACTGGCATAACCATGTCGAGGCTGAATTCAAAGTCTTAAGCTATGTTCTCGGTTCTGCTAGCGATTATAACGGCGCCGACATCGTCCAGGAATCCAACAACGGTGTTGTCGTTGTTGTGATCCAGTATCGGCTTGGATTATTTGGTAATGAGAGCGGCTTGCGTTGGACTCACACTTACTTCCATTTGTAGGATTCCTAGCTGGGAAGCAAGTAGAGAGCGATGGTGCTCTCAATGCTGGCCTGCGTATGTGCTCTTTGTTTTTGCTATCAGCTGCCTGCTTACCTATTTGAACACACTGACAGTTGATCAGCAATTTGCTTTACGCTGGGTGAATACGAACGTCGGTTGTTCCCTCGAACTCGTACTTGGAGAATTGTGCTGAAGCCGTTCTACAGATCGAAAAATTCGGGTGAGTTGAGAAAATGCCAACCACGATTACATATTGAGTGTGCAGTGGTAACCCAGCGGAAGTCACGCTTTGGGGAGAAAGCGCAGGTATGTCGTCGTTAACCTCCATGGTTGCAAATGACCATACCCACAGGGGCCGGATCCGCCATTCTGCATATGATTGCGAACAACGGGAAAACATCGCCCTCGCTGTTTAGGGCCATTATGACTAGCTCTAGCTTCCTGCCCTCGCAATATCCGTACGACGCTCCGATCCCTCAGGCATGATAAACATGCTTTTCTATTATTTGCTCGAGGCTCACGTTCAACTTTCCAGACTCTGTTCAACGATGTCGCCACTCAAACCGGGTATATATCCTATTCTATGCACAACAAGCTTGATTTGAACCGTGATGTCTCAGATGCGCCAACGCAACCAACCTGACTTGCCTGCGCACAGTCGACAGTGCAACATTGGCAACTGTCAATTCTAACATAATCACTGCGGGTTTTGCGGGCACATTCACATTTGTTCCTGTCGTCGATAAGACTTTTATCACGCAGACCCTGACGACCGCCTTTGCACAGGGCGAAGTGAATAAAGTACATCAAATCTCGAACCTTCACTTGACGTCGATATTAACCATTCGTTTTGAAGGCGAGGGTGTTCTCAGTAACAAACAGCAACGAAGGGTTCATCTTCGTCCCCCAGACGGTGGATTTTAATATTACGAATTATGCACAGCAACTCTTCCCTCTTTTGAGCGCTACGCAGGCCAAATCTGTTGCGTCCGCCTATTCATCCTCCGGGACTCCTGCAGAGCAAGCTACGGCGATCTACGGGGAATGTGCGTCTCTTTTCATTGATGAATGATGAATGTATGTGAGATTGACCTGCACGGCAGCGACCATTACATGCCCAACGTACCTCTTGCTTAACGCCTTCCCCGGGCAGGTGTACAAGGTCTTTACCAATCATTGATCTCCCGGGTTCATTTTTGATACAAGCGGACAGGGGGAAATGGCGGTCACCCCCGGCGTCCACGGCGAAGATGTTCTCTACTACTATCCAGATTTCACTGCTTTACCCACCGCTCCACCCTTTGAAAATGCCGCGTTCGCCACCGCATTTTCGCAAGGATTTGTCTCCTTCGCGGCGAATCTTGATCCCAACTCCAAGCTGCGTGCGAGCATGACTCCCCTGTGGAGCCGCTGGTCGCCCTCGGCCCCTCTGGAAATGGTTTTCAACCAAACGAACAATGAGCCAGCAATCGCCATTGGGTCCACATCGCCGGGGCTATTAGCCCGATGCGCGTTAGTAATCACGAGTGCAATTCATGACATGGGGCTAATTCCTTGGCGCAGGTTTTGGAAGAGTTTGTCCAACGTCATAGCACAGTAGCTTCGTTATTTGTGCTCTTGTGCTTCTCATGAGTCCTCCGACTATCATATAATATAATTAAGTTGATGTTCAAACTTCAAAGGATTACGGTGACTGCCGTTGTGTTTACCCATACTCAAACTGTTTCTTGATTTTTGAACGATGTCGATGCACGTCTTCCATGTCGGCGGAATCTTCCTGCCTCGATGGAAACCAGTGTCACAGTCCCAGGCGAGGCCTGTGGAATTCAACCAACCGAGTGACCTGCCAACGATTTGTTTGACGGGAGGTTTTCCTGTATTTCTTGGGAGCACGATGAATTTCAACTAATCGTCACGCCTTGAGTCTCACCCCCCTACACATATCCAGCCACCAGCTCACCAATATTCCGCAGGCCAGCTGGGATTTTTTCTTCCAATCTCGACTACGGGGGTGAGGGGTTCTGCGATTGAACTGCAAGTCAAGTACGAAAGCGCAAGTGAAGGGGTACCATCTCGATGAGAGCTTCCGACTCAGCTTCGCGGTCTCCGAAATCGTCGGTCACTACTAATCCTTCTTCTAATTCTCTGAACTGTCCATCTGACGTTGTATACATTTTGTTAGGTATATGAATTGAACGCAATCGTCCAGTTCGCCACCGGGATGTAACCATATTGGCGAGCGTCTTCCCGTTATAACGGTTCAAGAACCTCCGATGGTGTCCAGCACTACCGATCATAATCGATCTCAGAGCCGGAACGATATCGGTTGAC